TTCACTAGGTGATAGGAATTTTTCACGTCCACTATAATTTTATGAGACTACCTTCGTATATGCGGTCTATTGTTAACCAAAACATCTTTAGGTGGTGCATGACTGTGTACTGTTTGTTAGTTTAAATGAATGATCCAGGTCTATGTGCATCAATATAGCTCAATTGCCATAATATGGAGTAATAAGGAGGAAGTCGCTAAGGGACATATATATATGTAAGATATACACTCCTTGCTCTTTTTCACTGTATAGTATGGCATAGTATAGTGTGTATGAAACAGTACACACACAAACACAACACATATATATGAGGTTAAAATATAAAGGCATGCAAGAAAGAACACACTGACTTCAGGATCCTCTAAGAAGACAGGAGAATAGGATGAGGATGACTTTAGCAGTTTCTATAACATTTTATTCTTTAAAAAAAGAACTGACACAAACAATGGTAAAATATAGACATTTTTAAAATCTAGGTGGTGGATATATAGATTTATATTACAGAAGTATGAAAAATGTATAACTTAAAAGTGATTATAATATTAAATTACTTTTACAAAGAATGTGTGATAAAAGAGCAGAGGTTTTGTGACTGGAATTAGACCAAACAGTAACTTTTAAGTTATCAAAGACTGAAAACCATCAGTTCTAACTTGTTCTTCCATGACATTATTTAGGCCTAATTCCCACAAAATGTGTTTAAAATTTAATGAAGAGAAAATATAAAGAATTTTCTGACTGATTTTTCTGAAATAAACTAGTAGTGGAAGTTAAATTTTCTTCACCAGAAATTCCACTGACCTTGGAGTTCCTGCTGATGTCAGAGGGAATCCCCTACTCAGATGAAATCTGAGTCATGTATATAATCACTAGACTACAAGGTATTATATATTAAATAAAAACAGTAAAACATAGTAGTGAAAAGCATGGACACAGAGGGTTCTGATCCTAACACAAATATCAGTGTTCAATACATATTGGCTAGTGATATAATGATTACTAATAAGCATTGATAGAATAGCAGAGGCAAGATGTGCTATGGAAATTTGAAGAAGTAACAGATTACTTTCATTTGGAAAAACTGGAGGGAGCTCTCAGGAAGAGCACAGACTTGAAAGATGTGTGGAATGGGAGTGGGCAGAGAAGAGGCAAAGAACCCTATGGTTCTGCCTCAAAAATGCCTCTCCTTTCTGCCTTCTCTTTCCCATAGTCATAAAACTGATGTACACTATTCTTTTGAACTCTTTTCTCTTCACATATGTTCCCTTTGCTTCACTCCAGTTCATTCACAAACCACTGACAGGATAATAATCTAGAAATTTAAAGATGATCCTAAAGGATCATGCAGACCAAAACTGGCACAATGGCCATATGGTACATAATAAGAAAGTATTAGCTTATAATGACACTCACTAAGTGTCCGGCCCAGTGCAACACACTTAAATTTACACATAATTGCACTTAAACCACAACCCCAAATAGATACTATTTCCAGGAAATTGGGTAACAGGGAAACTGAAGCACATGTTAAAGTAACTTGTCCTAAGTCACACAACCAGTAAAATGGGAAGTCAGAAGTTAAGTTTAAGTAGTCTGGTTTCTGACTGCTTAGATGCTCTCTGAGTGACACAGCACCTGGAGTATTGTATCAACTCAGTATGCTACTCTTTGAATGGGTTATGAAAACCCAAATGAAGTCTGGATAAGAACAACCAGGATTAACCTGGTAAATACAGAATATAAAGGTGAAATAACTAGGTGTTTAGTTAAAAAAAGACTTTTTAAAAAGCATGAGAACAGTAAAGTATTGATTAATGAATTCATCTAGCAGATATTTATCAAGCATCTACCACTGACCAGCCATCACGCCAAGCATGAGTGTACCAAGAAGAAGAAAAAGGGTCTTGGCTCTCTGGTGGGTTATTCCAAGCCACTTGCTTTCAGAGCTACGTGGAAGAAGGCAAAGATTCAAACTGCAGAGCTCCTAAAGCAGACCCTGGAACCATGGATGATAGTTTACAGGGAAAGTGACTTCAACTGTATAAGCAGATCTTTCCATTCAATAGACCTGTTAAACAATAGAATTGTTTCTGTACAATCTTCATGCAGGAGGTGTGCAGAGAGAGGTTCAAGGACTGATCGTCACAGATGCTATTCTAAGGAATTCAACTATGATAGAGAGGGTAAACCAGGTAGCCATTAACAAACCGTGACATAAATGGGCTAGCTCTTCACCAGATCTGTTTTACCTTATTGTTTGATCTGAGACATGTTTCCTAGCCTCCTTTGCAGTTAACAGTGGTCACGAACTAAGCTCTAGCCAGAAGAATACCAGTATAAGTGACGTGCACACTTCTAGGCCTGCCTCGTAAAAACTCACTCCTGCCATCCTTTGTGGTCTTTCCCCTGATTCAGCTAAGCCTGGTAACCTTGGGAATCACGTGTTCCAAACAGGGGAACCACAAAATGGTAGGATTCCTGGGCCCTGAAGCAACCCAGGGCAGGCTGTGTATCCACAAAAAGCAGAAGTAAGAAATAAACATTCACTGTGTCAATCCACTGATATTTGGAGAGTATTTTGTAGAACAAGATTACCTTAACTAAAACAGATGCCTTAGAGTATGATTCACCTTTTCTACTAAAGTGTAAATTATTTGAAACCAAGAAATGGTTCTTGCTCAACTTGGTAATCACTAGATACAAACTAAACATGTTAGACTTAGTAGATATTAAATGTATGCATATCAAATGGAGGGGAATACCAGGAGCAGGAACTAACATTTGGAGGCAGGAACATACAAGGAATGTATTTAAATGGCTGATAATCTCAATTGGGGAGGGGCAGAGGATTTGAATGTACTAGTAATAGCAAGTATCAAAACAGATGCCTTAGAGTATGATTCACCTTTTCTACTAAAGTGTAAATTATTTGAAACCAAGAAATGGTTCTTGCTCAACTTGGTAATCACTAGAGTACAAATTGTAAAAGCACAGATGGGATGATATTTATCAAAAGATGCCTGTGGATATTCTTGGGGCTCATGGAACCAATAAGGAAAATTTGAGATATTCTTTCCAACTCCCTTGCTGGATGGTTTTAGTTCATAAGGGAAACTGCTTCCAAGTTACTAAAAATCGATACCATGGTTTTTATTTTTCATTTCCATGGGTCTCTTTATACTTCCCTGATCTGGCTGAGACCTGATATACCAAAATGAAATATTGGTAGAAATTGTGTTCCTGGCGCTTTTCCAAACAGCACCAGAAAAGGAAGTGCCAGAAATTTCAGAAGGGAGCCTGTTTTCCTGAGATTTCCTGCCTTCCTTATATCTCAACGTGTCCAAATAGTTCAGATAACCTTCAGCTGGACTCTAGGTTGCTTCATTTAGACTGAAATCAAGCAGCTGAGTTGAGGATCTCCCATTTAGCAAGAGGTACGATTTAGGAGGTACAATGATAAAGCAGCTCAACCAAAAGAGACACTGGATACCAAAATTCTGGTCCTGGCTCCTTATGAACTCAAGCCAGTTTTCCCGCTTTGGCACCCGATGTCTGGTCTTGAGCCAACCCTCTCCTTCAGAGCATCTGAAGTGTTTATCTATGCCTTTCTTTTATTCACTGCTAGTTGCTGACAAATTTTTTTCAACAAAAGCTTCATCAAGAGAAGTCATCATTTCCCAATAATTTCTTCAAGACTGAAAAATGCAATATTTGTCTTACTCCTCTTACGATCATTGTATCTAAACTCAGAAATACCATCCAGCTGTTAAAATCTCAGAGATAAAACACTTTCCTGATCAGAGATCTAGTTACTTAAAATCAGAACTGTGATTTTATTGGACATGTCTTTGGGTGTGACATGCCTTTTATTTCCTTTGTCATCTGCATTCATCTACAATGCATGCCTGGGTACAGCCATGTCACTAGTTTAGATTTTGATTCTCTTTACTTTTGCTACTTTCTTCCTAGAAGTCTAGTTGGGTTTTCCCTCCCATTCCTGGCACACTTTTTGGTTTGCTATGGAAAAACTATACAAAAATTATTCAGTCAAACAGTTTCTCAACTAATACACTTGTTTTCTCTTTGTTATGCTGTTTTCTTTATCATAATTTATGCTCATCTTACCAAAATGTCAAGGTAGTGTATAAAACCTACCACTACCAGAAGTAACCAGGTGTTTATCATAGACCCCGGAACTCAGACCCACTGATCAGAACCTGGAATCACTTCTTCTCAGGCAGAAACTGGTTTATTTTAATCTTTGTTTTTTCAAGAGCAGAAAACATCAAGAATCCTCCAGAAAAATACATGGAAGCATATGCATAAAATAAATTCACCCATTACAGAGAAGATAAAAATATTTTTAAAAAAAAAGATTAAAATATTGACAAAATATTCTAACAATCCAAATTAAAAGAACACAATACTACCACCGAGTACCAGCCTGCAACTTTCGGCACTGAATTCCTAATCCCTTTCTTCTTTTCTTTGTAAAGGGCATATTTGGGTTTATAAATACTGTATGTTAAATTCAGTAGTGAGGAGGGGCTTTATGGGGACAGCCTGTTATACACATAAATACACAAGCATCTTTGTCTGTCAAAGTGCGGATGGGATCGTGCAGGGAAGAAAGCAAACTGTGATTCTCCTCCACCCCACTCCACCCCACCCCAGCCCTTTCTGATCCTTTCTTTCCTAGGCTGTTGGAGAACCTGGCAGGCATATTAGTTTAAGAAATCAAATAAACGCCACCACGTAGGTATGGGAGTAAAACTGCATTCCCATTTGACATCTGGAAGCCAATTTTCTTGTAGGAACTTGCAATAGGAATTGAACTTTGAGAAGCGCCCCCACCTCAGCCACTCCCCAGGATCCTTGCCCTGACTTGGGCATTTGTGGGATTTATTGTTAAAGGAGACTACTTGCGATAAATTTCAGGTGAGGAAATTCACCTGAAATTAAAGGCGGGAGGAACAAAAGTCACCGAAGGGAGACAGCCACCATTTCCGTGTGGTCGGTGCGAACCTTACCACGTATGAGCCACGGTGAAGCGCCGCTGCTTGGGGATGTTGCTGCTGAGAAGCATCCTGCGCAGGAGCCTGGGGGAATTTCGCGGAGAAATCACTGGAGAGAGCTTGGGAGAAGCCGGTTTCCTCGCCGTCTTGGACTTCTCGTGCTGCAACAGGTTTTCCCGCAAAGATTTCACAAGATCCTCGTTCAGCCACGGGTTTGGACAATGCGGATTATCCACTTCAGGAACTGTTAAGGTGTCCGGGCTTGTCGTCTGCTGAGCCATTTTTCCTGGTCAACTTTGTACAGCTGGCGACAATCCAGGGCAACGTGGTTCCCTGGCCTCTTTCCAGGGATTCTGTCGCTCGGAGTCCGGGAAAGGTCCGGGGAAGCAGGTCGGATCCAGCTGCTGTTAGTTCATTCGGTCTCCTGCCTCAGTCTCTCCGTGGCGGCGGGGCTGGGTGCAGACGAGGCGAGTGCGCTCCTCGGCGGAAGCCTGCTAAACGTCACCCCTCCTCTCCCTCTCCCGAGCCCCTGCCAAAGATCACTGACGAGCTCGCATGGCAAAGGAACATGGAGGGAAGCCACTGCGCTAGCAGGGCTTTTGTCAGCGCTACAAAGCAGCCTGTTAAACTATTGGAACTAATGCGCCGCAGCTGCTGGAGTGACTTCTGCTTATGTACATAAAAAGTCCTGGGGGGAGGGCTTAACCATCAGATGCCTGCTGCTCTGTTGTTTGGCTAGTCTTTCCATTTGCTTATTCCTGAATCCAAAGGAAAGAAAAACTTTGAACTTGACCTTCCTCTCCCACAGGGCTATTTATCTCTCTACAGGCTATGTTCATAAAAGAAAATTGCTAGTCCTTTGGCGTGCTTTACATTAATATATGTACGAAGAATAAACAAGCATCAGCTAGGCAAGGAGAAATATTGTCCTGCTTACTAATCTCAATTTGATGCACCTTATAAGACAAATCCCAAGAGAATAAAATGGACTCCCTCCTCCCCCAGTTAGAAACGAACAAAAGGTTTAAAAATACCGCACATGGAACACATTACAGGTTGCTGTGTGTTCTGCAAAGTTGTTAATAACGGCCCTTTCAAAGCACTGAACAACACTATTTAGACTCACAAATGATATTTGTTATCTCTTTGCATTTAAACTAATGCCCATCCAGAGGGAAAGACTGTTTTCATGAGTAGTTAAAAATGATTATAAAGTTTCAATTACTATTTATGATATATACAATCTTATGAATTCAACTATAAGAGGGTGAAATACATCTAGCTTTTCATGATTCCCTTTATTGTCTTTTAATGTAAGATTTTAATATGTGATGAATATAGTTTCAACAGACTTATTCAGAGGGGATTTAAAATAAAAGAGAAGAAATTATTTTGCTACTGGAAAGAAGTATAAGTGTTATAACAGGAAAGTAAGTGGTGAAACCTATTAAATCTTATTTATGTGGACACTAGGAGTGCAGACATTAAAAAGCATTGGAAAGGAATCCACCAAATCTTTGAATAGGGATGTTCCTAGCAGCCTACTTCGTCAAATCACATTTCTCCATATCTAAGAATATTTTACATTTTTAAAATACACAATATCTTCAGAAGGAGCTGCAAAATGCATCCAGACAAAATGGAAACTGAAATAGTCTGAGTCTTTTTTTGGTATCTATAATTACTATTAGATCAATTTATCAAGTTTCTCCTATCTCTCCTCTTGGTTTCTCCACCTTAAGTTTCAATTTCTTGCCTTTAAAATGTTATAGAAAAGGATATTCTGAGGTTCTGTTCAGAGGAGCATAGGGTCAACCACTTAGTGCATCTCTCCTGTGAGTACACCTATAACAATTCAATGGGACATGTGATGTGTGCTGTGACATTATCAAAAA